GGGGGTGGCAGGCTCTTGGAATATTAAAGTGATGCTAATGAGGGCAGCGGAATAGTAAATCTGTGTTAAGGGAGGCAGTAAGAGGGGTGTGTGTGTGTGTGTGTGTGTGTGTGTATTGCTTCTAAAGATGCTTGAAGTACGGCTTTTAAGCTTAGCTGAGGACTTTGGCCAAGTGAAGTGCCTAAGTCAGCCAAGGACTAACCCCTGACCCAGAGGGGAGACTTAAAAGGAGCTTCTGGAAATGCTAAGCCAAGGCCACCTTGATGCTGGCTCACATTGTTCGGTCTGCTTGAAGCCTGACCGATTGAGCTACCGAAGGTGCCAGGAATCTGTGAGCCCAGGAGGCTCTGCCAACCAAGCAAGCTGCCCTGGTAACTTGAGGATAAGGAGTCCATGTCAGGAGGTGCCTGATGCTGATCCTTTGATTACTAGTGGATGAACTGGTATTCATTGCTATCTGGCCCGTGAGGGACTGGACCTTTCAGGCATCTCTCAAAATCTGCTCCGAGGTTTGCAGCTCTGAGAAGTCTGAAACAATCAGATGCAGGAAGCCCCCGGGCCCCTGCTTCCCCGTTCGGGTCTCTCCTTAGCCAGATCTGAGCTCTTTGAGCTGGATGACGTTAGGTTTTAGTCTCTTTATCATGGTTTCAGTTGTTGACCAAGAGAGAATTCATGAAAAATGTAAGCCAATGGGCATCTATTTGGGCAATGAGAATTGCAACTGTGGGAGACAGTTCAGGTAGAAACCTGATTCTTGTTCAGGGGAGTTATAAAGGCAGAGGAATAATGTGCTGTTCTCTTTCAGATCCTCTAAGCAAAACAGGGATTGAAGCTAGGTTAACTGGGATTGCTTGGGTTAGTATACAGATGAAGGGTTGAAACTTGTCAAATCCATTGGCTCCTTTCAAAGTGAAGAACACCAGTGATTCAGGTCTCATCATGAGGAGAGAGTTAAGTCCAGGCTGAGGGCTTGCCACTGGCAAAAAGTTCATGGTTCCTAGGATGCACATAAATTCCTCCCCCGTGATGGCCTCCTGAGCCTATTTTAGAAGAGACTTTCTTCGCTAGCCTTGCTTACTCCTTTTTGAAATCTCCTTTTACACAGCTTTATTGAAATAAAGCAATAAAATGTGCTGCCACTGGTTTTATTAGCATTCACTCCTGTGATTTGATTTTGTAGTACATACACCATTCATTATTTGTACTATGAAAAATGGGCCGTAGGGTTTTTTTTTTCCCTCCCTGTGACATTTGCTTATCTGTGAAGTTCAACGTGACCTACATATGGTTGATTTTATAACCTCAGAGTTGACATTTTCAGGGGTGGATCTCTGAAATTTCATTTGGGGTCCCATTTTGTACCTGTGCTATAAGATGGTGATGCCCCTGATTCTGGAATGCCAGGAAGAAATGAAACGGGCATTTTGTTCCTAAAGACCACAAATGATGGATGTTGATGTGCTTCAGAAAAAAGTGTTAAAGGCTCAGATGTGAAACTTACATAATTAAAGTAAGTGGTTCAACTTTTTCAAAGGCTGGTAGCAGTAGGTGAGCCTACTCGTTGATGCTTGTGCTTTGCTCTTCTCTTGCTAAGCCCATAGGAACCTCAAAGGAGGGGCACCTACCTCGGTGGCTCGGTGGGTTAAGCATCCAACTCTTGATCTCAGCTCAGGTCTTGATCTCAGGGTCATGAATTCAAGCCCCGCCTTGGGCTCCGTGTTGGGTTCCACACTGGGCATGGAGCCTACTTAAAAAAAGAAAGAAAGAAAGAAAGAACCTTGAAAGGGAGAGAGAATGCTTTAAGGATTTGCTGTTGGTATTGTTGCATACAGCTTTTCAGTGCCATATTCATCTTCTCATAGGTGCTCTTAATTAAAATTAGTTGCGGAAGAAGCTAAAACGTGTTATTCCGAAGTCTGATGAAGACTCCTCATCTGTGCCTCCCAGTCTTTTGGAGCAATAATAACTGTGACATACAGCTCCAAGGCTAGGAATCCTTCATCTCTTTGAGGGTTCCTTCAATTTCTTTTGGAGCTTGATGAAACTAATAGGAAGTGAAGATGACATCAGTTGTGTTATTAAAGGCAGTAGTTCGGTTTTGTATCACATGGAAAAGGGGGAGAAAATGAATCTTTAGGGCATGTCTACTGTGTGTCAAGCCCTGTGCTAGACTCAGTTTACCCAGAAAGACGTTGGAATCCATCAGGTTCCTGGTTATCGATAAAGCTAGCACAGAGTTACTTAATGGGGTGGTATTGGCATTTTGAGCAGTGGGGGACAAGTTTTAGGAGGACTGTGCCCTGGCCTGTGAGGCATTTAGCATGTCCCCCCCCCCCCCCGCCACCACTCAGTGTCAAAGCATTGTAACTGTCAAATCGCCCCCACTGCCGGTTCAGGTGCTCCCCTACGCCCACCCCCAAGCAGGCCGTCCTGCCTCTGGCACTGGTGAGAGGCTCTCAATTAACGTTGAATACTTTTCAGAGAGCAGATATGTGGATTCCATTTCTGGGCATGCGTCTCTGTTGTAATGGAGTAGAAAATTCTGTAAGTCAATTCTGTGTTTTTATTACCTGAGATTTACATAATATTTTATGCTTGTGAAATAACGAGTATTTATTCTATATTATATAATTGGAATACAGTTCTTTTTATTGATTAAAAACAAGTGTATCCCATATGGTTAACGGCTTGATTTTACTCACCTTTTCTCTTAAGCATTATGGTATCACCCATAATTCTCAAGAACAATGTATTACACCTTCATTATGTTTTCTTCTTCCCTTTCAACACCTCATGTTTCTAAGACAAGATTTTATGGCGGGAATTTACAGAAATGTTGACTATGACAAATAGCTCAAAACCCACTTCTCTCTGTCAGTTCTATATATAGAACTGTCAAAGAACACACAAACATTTTGTCTTGTGCAAAGTTAAATTTAACCAGTTGGCAGTTTCTTGGTAAACCTAAACTGGTAATAGAGGTATTATCCTTTACTAAATCTTCAGCCATATTATGCTAATCGAGTATAATGATTTCTGTAGACTTTGTGTCAAAAAATCAGTTCCTTTGCACCTCAGAGAAGAATGAGACTGGGGATTCATTTATTCATTCCACAGATATTTTTACTGTACTTGGGATATATCAGTGAACAGCACAGATAAGGATCCCTGCTTTCACACTAGCCCAAATGAACACAATAAGTAAATGACAAGTTAGGTTAGAAGGTGGTAAGTGCTATGCAGAAAAATTAGTAAGGAGGGTGGAGGGGGCGCCAAGGGTTGGGCTGGAGATACAGGTTTTTTTTTTTTTTTTTTAAGGATTTATTTTTTTAAGTGATCTCTACACCTAAGGTGGGGCTCGAACTCACCACCCCGAGATCAAGAGTCGCACGCTCTACTGACAAAGCCAGCCAGCTGCCCCTGGAAATACAGTTTTAATTAATGTAGCTCAGGAAGCTTTGCTGAGAAGATGACTTTTAAGCAAAGACCTGAAGGCAGAAATGAATACTTATTGAGCCCCTGTTGTGCCCCCAGGTACTTTTTTAGGAGCCAGAAGAACCAGGTATAACCTTTATAATCTGCAAAAAATAATTTACATGGCCAAAGGATCAATGTGCACATTGAAGTGACATCTCTAAGCCATGTCGGTGCAATAGGCTTAACAGTGATTTTAAAAAATTCCTTTTTGAAGTAACAGCACCTGTTTTGATAAGTAGGATTGCAATGGATGAGCTTTTTTTTTTTTTTAAAGCTGGTAACTACACAGAATGATAGAAAATAGCAGGTATCTGTTTTCAAAGAGAAATAGAAAAATAAGGCTGAGCATGGAATGAGTTTTGTGGCCCAAGTCCAGGGGTCCTTACGGAATTATTACTTCTTCCCACCTGGTGACATCGTGAGGATAACAAGGATCTTCTGGGGAAGACAGGGACAAAGTCATAGTTACGGCCTTAAATTAAGGATGGCTTTCATGTGGGCAGCTGAAAGAACAGTGGACCAGAGTCTAGAAACCAAGAGTTGGCTGCAGCCTCTGATGCTGAGCAGCGGGACCTCGGCGGGTTGCTTGGCCTCCTCCCCTTTCCCGGAATGACTGTTTGTTTGCTAGGCATGCACTTCATGTGCATGATCTTGTTTAGAAAGTTGTGGAACACGAGGGAGATCAAACTCACAAGCTAACCAGTCAAGTTCTTTTCTAGTTCTTGACTTCCTCTCTCCTTGATTTGTCAATTCCAAGATGTGAGTAGACTGTGGCTTATCTGCAGCTTATGGATTGAGTCCAGGACACAAAATATGGTTCTTTGGGGCCATCAGAGCTTCAACTGTGGCGCAGGGCTGGCTCTAGAGTTTCTGGGTTTTCTCTTCCTCCTGGCATCTTACATGGTGTTCAAGTCACAGCCGATTTAGCATTTTTAGGGTGGAATGGAATGGTTCATGGCTGGCTTCACTATGATCTCACTCATGCAAATGCCAGCCTGAGATTTCACTTCTGTTTCTTGAGCTTCAAAAAGACTGCCAAGGAGCTAGGCACTGGGGCTGGAGGAAACGCAGGGAATTAGCCTCGCTCTGAGGCCAAGCCACAGTTCGTCCACTGTCTCCGATAACCCTTCAGAGTGAAAGAACCTTAACAACGGTCCCAAAGACTTCTACCTTTAACATATATATCATTGACTTGCCTTCAGAAGATCAGTAAAATGATACATGCAGATGGCCCTAATGGGCCCTTTTAACTCAGGGGCTTCTAAAATGCTCTTGTGATCAGAGCTGCACCTGTGCGCCTCTGGAGAGACTTACTTAGATGTCACCCAGGCCTGCACTGTCAAAGCGCTAACGTGTACCGAACACCCTCTGAGTGGACTCTCGCGCCACCTGTAGCCTGGGGGTAATGCTTCCTCTCCCCACTTTCCTCTCTTGTTGGGCCCCCCGGGTGTCAGAGCTGCTCTGCAGCCTACTGAATGGAGGACTGTCCTCTCTCACCCCCTTGCTGTCTTCCCATTTTGTAGATGATGAACCAGGTGGAAGGACAGCAGAAGAACCTCGTGCACGCCATCGAGTCTCTGCCGGGTTCTGGCCCCCTCACTGCCTTGGACCAGGATCTGCTCCTCCTGAAAGCTACCTCCGCTGCCACCCTCAGCTGCCTCGGGGAGTGCCTCCATTTGCTGCAGCAGAGTGTGCAGCAGGTGGGCCAGCCCGGCCACAAGCCGGGGGCCTCAGGTAAGACCGCCTGGCGGGTGGGTTTGCCCATGAGTATCTGGGGTGCGTGTCTGTGTGTCTGTGTGGATCTCCCCCGTGGCCTTCCTCCTTTAAATCCACTATATCCACCTTCCACCTGTCTCTCCATTTATTCCATCTGTTTCTCCATTTGTCCCTCCCTCCTTCTCTACCCAGTTTGGGATATCTTTTTCTTTGACTGATTAGAACTATAACATCCCGTGAAAGATTTAACTGATGTGTTTACATGAGTACTTTGGAACTCCTTTCAGGCTTGCTGGCATCTTGTTCTATATCTCATTCCACTTGTGACTTGGCACTCCGTGCTGTGTTTCTGAGATACATTGCCATGCCATCCATTTTTCTAACTGCGCCTTGATGTGCGTCCACCATGATGCGTCACCACACTGTGGTGAAGGATTCCCACATTGCTTCCCGTGCTTGGTCCTGCTCGCATGGCTCAGGGAGCATGCTCCTGCATGCCTCCTCCTGGACCTATGTGAGCCTTTCTCTTCAATACATGCCAGGAGTATTTCTAGCTCTTTATCAAGTAGCTAGAGATAATAATACACTCCCTGAAGATGCCTCAGTCCTTTTGGAGGAGGGCTTAATAAGCAGATTCAAAGATATTAGAGAAGATTAAATTCAGCGATGAAGGTGAACTTAGCTTGAGGTTGGCCATGTCGTATATAATTACAAAGGATTAGAATGAAGAGACCAACAGAAGCCTCCTTGAGCTTTGTTGCCGGGGTTCACTTATTGAGGAAACGAGACAACTTGGATGATGAAAGCAAAGCTAGCTTATGAGTGACGGTCTGTATTTCATGCTTTTCTCAAGTCCTCTTTGCCCTCTGTTGCACTGAGTTTAAGAGGAATGTTGGTTTTCCAGAGAAGTTTCTTTCTGTCCTACCCACTCTCATTTACTGAGCTCCGATCCTGCCAGAGTTTGGCCTTTGCTACACCTTTTCTGAAACCTTCACAGACTAGATGATATTATGCCCGTCATTCAGATGAGATGCTGAGGCTCATAGTGGGTAAATGACTTGCCCGAGGCCACCCAGCCAAGTAGCTGAGACGGGTGCTTCCTGGTGTGGCAGGCGCCTTCCTCTGCCTGGGGTTCCTTGTTAATCCAGAACAGACCACCAGTCGGCTCTGGGGACCCTTCACGGGGGCCAGTGACGCTGTCTTGCTCACATCACAACTCTCTCACTGGCAGGTATTTATTTTCTTTACTTTTCTCCTTATTTAAAGAATTTCAGACTTCCAGAAGAGTTACAAGAATACTATGAAAAATTCTCGTATCTCCCATCTCCAAATCCTCCAGTGGTAACATTTTATGGCATTTGCTTCATCATCTCCCTTTTCTCTCTCTCTCTGTCTCTCTAAGCATATTATAACTTTCTAACCACTTCAGAGTAAATTGCAGACATGCTGTATCTTAACTCTTATATGCTTCAGTATGTATTTCTTTAAAAAGAAAAAGGACACTATATATAATGTCCTTTATATAATGTCTCCTATATAATGACTGCCCAGTCGTCAAAATCAGTAAATGAACATGAGTACAATCCTATTCCCTAATCTGTAGACCTCACTAAATTTTGCCAATTACTCTCTTAATGTCCTTCATAACGAAAGAAAAAGGTTTTGGTGCAGGATCCAGCCTAGGGGATGTGTGCGTGTGTATTCAGGCACAAAGTGAAGGTGCCCAAACCTGCTTTTCTATCTTTCCTCTTCCTTCTCAGCTTGAAAAATGAAACTCTAATGTTGCAGCCCCCCATGGGACTCCTTGATATTTTCAGATCTGGACTGAGTCTCAATGACCCCATTGGGGCTTGAGCACAGATTCTGAGTTACACTGGGGAGCTGTTCAAGGCGTCCGTGATCTCTCCCACGGAATATCGTAACTTCCAGCCTCTGCAACCTAATGGGTGCATTCAGGAATGTTTCACTGGTAACTATACACTTGAACCATTTTGTTATTCCTAAAGTGACTCCCTTACATCTTTCTGCAGGGCTGGTTTCTAGCAGCTTTCTAATTTTTTCCCTGATTTTCATTGGGAAAAAAAATGGTGTTTTTAAGAGCTTGGAAGGACAAAGCTCAAGGTAGAATTTCAAATTTCAGATGTGATGGATGACAGGTTGAAATGAAAGTTATCTGGGAGGACCAAGCAATATCCCTGAAACTGTGTGTACAGCGTTACCTCCTGTATCTCCCCTGCCCCTTCCTACACCCCTGCCCCATTTGACTGTCCTTCCTCCCTTGCTTTTAGTCACTTTTGTTGTTGTTTTTATACTATATTTACTATATTCAAATTAAAAACCTATTCATCCAGTGACAGCAAACTTATGAATCACTATTGTTTGCCACTTCTTTGGTCATTTTTATTTTTCACGGAAGTATAGTTAACCTGTAATAAATTAGTTTCAGGGGTCCAACATAGTGATTCAGCAATTATATATATATTACGAAATGCTCACCACAGTAAGTGTATTAAAATATTATTTTTAAAAAAGATTTACTTATTTGAGAAAGAGCAACAGAGAGCACGAGCAGGAGAGGCAGAGGGAGAGAGAGAGAGAATCTCAAGCAGACTCTGTGCTGAGGGCTGAGCTCGATGCAGGGCTTGATCTCATAACCCTGAGATCATGACCTGAGCCAAAACCAAGAGTTGGAAGCTCAACTGACTGCCCCTAAGTGTATTATAATATTATTGACTGTATTCCCTGGGCTATACTTTTCATCCCTGTGACTTATTTATTTATTTATTTATTTATTTTTGTGACTTATTTATTTTATAACTGGAAGTTTGTACCTCTTCATTCCCTTCACCTACTTCACCCACTCCCCATCCCCTCCCCTCCTTTTAACCATTTTTATCAAGGAACTTGGCTGAAGGTTGGAGGATAGAAGGTGCTTGAAGTATCACAAAGGTTATTTTGTTTTCTTGTCTTCTTTTAACTTTTAACCCTCCTAAAAAATTTCATATAACAGCCCCTTAAGTTTTAACATTGTGCAGGTTCTTTTCAATCTCTGGCACACATTGGGGGAAGCAATTGAATTACTTCCTGCATCCAAAACATCATACTTGCCTGCAGTTAAAATGGAATTCCGGAATCTCAAGCTAATGGAAGAAGAAAATGTGGCAACCTGGGGAGTGTCAGCACAAAATGTCTTTGTTTGGAATCTCAGGGCTCTTGAACTTGACAATAGTTACAGCAGCCTGACTCCCACGGATAAAAGCATAATGCTTGTATCTAAGGAGTGCCATCCTGGTTTGATGGAAATCAAAATCTCATTACAGCGAAACTCCATCAGGGTTTCCTTTAAATGTTCAATGGGCAGGGAGGCACAGATTGCTTACAGCATACTAAATATCCACACGCATTGTTCTTGATCCTGGCTTCTTTGCTTTCTGACCCTCCCACTGTTGTATTTCTTCCTAAAGAAATTTTCTGAATCAGAAATTATTTTGTGGGCTTGTAGCATTTCATCTTCCATAGCATTTCATTGTATCTTCTGGGGAACCAGTTGGCTTTGGAGCCTTTGTCTGTAAATGTTGCTCCTTAACGCTCATTTCATCTCAAGCACACGAGCAACTGACCTGAAACCCAAAAATGCTTCAGTGTTCGTCTGCCCACCATTTACGCGTTTTGGGCTCCTAGACCTGTCTCTGATCTTATCTCTAAGATACAGTAGCCTGAAATGTTTCATTTAATTTCCATTTATGGAGAAGTTTGTAATTCATATTAATCAAGTAACTTGCCCTTTAGGCCACAGCTCCTGTAGTTCTGTTCCTGGGAACTACTAAATATACTTGAATAGCTTGATGGAGGCAAATGATAGATGGGGGCCGGTAGGCAGGCATCCGTTCTCCTCAGTCTAAATGCGTGCCTCTGTCTCTACTTGGAAAGGTGGGTAGGACTTCACTCACAGTTAGAAAAAGCTGAGAGCTACTTGAGGGTCTGGGCTTTGGGTGGGTTGCCAGTGTGGGAGAGAAACTAGACCTTTGGAGTGGTTTGGAGTGCAGGGTACTCTGTTGGCATTGCTTCTGGTTAAATCCTTGCTTGCAGGTCTTGATCTGGGGAGCATGGTTCAGGAGTCAGAGCAGACACCTGTAACCAGACAAATACATTCTAGTGCCAGGTAAGAGCTGGATGCTGACAGTGTGGTCGGTGCAAGGCATGTTGGGAAAAATGCTGAAGTCAGACCTGCCGGAGCAAGTGACAGCAGGGTGTTGGGGAATTGCAGCAGGTGACCCACGTGCCCTTGGACATAAATCAGGACAAGAGATCAAGAGATGTGTCATCGAAGAGGGGAGAACCAGAGCAGAGTTTAATGTGCTTTTCTTAACTTGTCCTTCCAATAACTTTTTTATTCTCTTATAAGGTTTGTGGGGCTTGTCAGTTAGAAGAAGCCAGTTGCGTTGGCCTTTCTGTTTGGGGGTTGGCAAAAAGGGTGAATAAGTGAGCCTCTCATAAGGCCTTTGTGGCCTCTCTGGCTGGGTGGCCTTCTTCCTTCTGCTGTGCTTCTCTTTTTTCCAGAGATGTCTTCAGACTGCCAGTGTTCCTCTCTTTCCACTTTGTTGTCTCTGTCTCTTACACCTTCTTTCTGGACACCTTCCGCTTCTGGTGAGGATGTGCCCCACACGAGTCACCTTCCCTCATTTTGTGGTTAAAAGCCGAGATGGAAACGTGATGATTCCTCCAGTAAATAGCATATTGGAGAAAAAAAAGAAAAACTAGCATTGTAGAATATTTCAGGTGGGTGGATTTTTTTGTTGTTGGAGCTATCCGAAGGGAGATTTTGAGTGGCACATTCTCCCTAAAGAAAGCAGTTAGATGCTAACATCATAGCTTTCCATTGTAAATGTGCCTTCTGTTGTCTTCAGGTTTGTAAATATCCATCTTTCTCTGTCTTGGAAGACTTAGGTTTACTGAGCATAGGACGCATGAAGTCACTGTGTTGCAGGACGAGGGTTGGGTGCTGTCAGAGGCCTCTG